TGAGGTCATTGAACATAGTGCTTAGGTCCTCCAGCCATTCTGTCATAAGGACTATATCGTCAGCAAATAGAAGGTGAGTGATATACTCGCAATTGATGTTAAAACCGTATCCTTTCCAGTCCAGAAGCTTGAAAACGTCTTCCAATGCAGCGGTGAAGAGTTTCGGGGATATAACATCACCCTGTCTTACACCTCTCTGCAATTAGATAGGTTTCGTACTCTGGTTCTGTACTCGGATAGCCATAGTAGCCCTACTGTACAAGCACTTCAGCACTTCGATATACCGAGAGCCAACTTGGCACCGCTGAAGGGACTGCAGCACCGCCCAAATTTCGATGGAATCAAAGGCTTTCTCATAGTCCACATACGCCAGACAAAGAACAAATTGTACTCCTCGAACTTCTGTACAATTTTCCCAAGGGTATGTATGTGGTCTATGGTACTAAAGCCCTTCCGGAAACCGGCTTGTTCGGGAGGCTGGAAGTCGTCAAGTCTGCGCGCAAGAAGATTCGTAATGACTCTCAAATACAGCACGTAGATGCGGATCAGAAGGGAAATCGGTCTGTAGTTTTTCAAGAGAGCGTTGTCACCTTTCTTTAAGAACAAGATCATCGCACTTTTGCTCCACGCCTCCGGTGTAATGCCACCATGAAGGACGGAATTAAAGAGCTTTCGAAGGACTTCAAGCACCGGTTTTCCACCCGCTTTCAGAAGCTGCGCTGTAATTCCATCCTCGCCTGGGGCCTTGCCGTTTTAAAGGTGCTGGAGAGCCATTCCAATCTCGCTCAGACTGACGTCCGGGATATCTTCGGAATAGTGTCGGATAAGACTCACTCTTGGATCGTTACTCACACTTGCGTGTGGCTCCAACGATGACGTGTACAGATGCCCATAGAACCTCTCAATCTCACTCAAAATCTCAGATGTCCCGGAAAAAAGGGTGGTTGCCGTAAAGATGGTTCGCGGCTACCGCACGATCTCCCGCGAGGCGGCGAGCCTCCTTGCCGGATTGCCGCCATGGGATCTGGAGGCGATAGTCCTCGCGCGCCTGCACGAATGGCGCGCGGCAGCACTATGCCGGGGGGAAACCCCGCTGCCGCGGCAAGTTGTCGCGCAGCGGACAGACTTCCGGCATGATCTCATGGCGACATGGAGAGAGCGACTGTCGCAACCCCGTGCTGGGCACGCCACTATAGCGGCGATAAGACCCCTCTTTGAGGAGTGGCTTGAGAGACGCCACGGCGTCCTCACCTTCCGCCTGACGCAGGTCCTCACCGGACACGGTGTATTCGGGAGGTTCCTGCACCGAATCGGGCGGGAGGAAACGCCCGGGTGCTCCCACTGCGAGGATCGACCGGAGGACACGGTGGAGCACACCGTGGAGGTGTGCTCTGCTTGGGCGGAGCACCGCCGTGTCCTCGTAGCGGCGATAGGCGGCGGCGACCTCTCGCGTCCGGCTCTGGTCGAAGCCATGGTCCGGAGCGAGACGGAATGGGATGCCGTCACCACCTTCTGCGAAGCAGTGATGCTAGCGAAGGAGGTGGCGGAGCGGGAGAAGGAAAGAGCAACAGCTTTCCTTCCCGGCCGCCGCGGGAGACGCCCCGGGCGTCGGGGGCTACGTCGTGGCCCCCGACCACCGTAGGCGCGGGCCTGTGGACGGCGAGCAATGGGTAGCTCGCCGTCCGTCCGTCTAACGACGACAGGCCGTGTCGACGGCGCGTTTTGTTCCACGCGCGCCTCAAAGAGCTGTCAGCAGCGTGAAGGGGCCCGCAAGGGCCGCGCCTGCCGGGGCTGCGGGCTGTTCGAAAGAGATACCGCGGCTCCGGAACGTAAGGGCACTGAAGGAACACGGATGGTTTTTAGTCAGTAAAAGTCTGACACTCCCTTCCGCTCCACCCACAGCGAAAGGCGTCATTAGATGATTTACCATCCGCAAAAAAAAAAAAAAAAAAAGATGTCCCGGAAACGATGCTGCCACATTCTATCTTCAGCTTTGACAGGTGGCTCTTTCTGGCAGACAGATCTCTGGCAAAGACTTTGGAGCCTTGGTTCCGCTCGATCGCTTCTTCAATAGAAGCTGTATTGAGGTTGCGTAAGTCTCGCCGCATGCATTTGGAGATCTGTCTGTTCAGATGCTTGTATGCTGTCAAATGTGTTGAAGAATGTAGCTTCATCTCCCGTCTAACAGCCATGAGATTAAGAGTGTGATCGGAGAGTTTTTGTGTTCTTCTGCGTCGGGTCTTGCAGAACTTAACTCCGACCGCATGGACAGTTTCCACGAGCTTGTCATTCATATCGTCCACTTCATTGCTGTCTTCCAGGCATTGAAAACGGTTTTGTAACTCGAGCTGAAAGCTTTCGGGACTTTGGAACAGAGCACGAGGGGGGCGAAGCGTTGACTTCATTAGCCGAGACCTCTCCAACTTAACGTTTAGGTTCAGTGTGCCTCTAACCATTCGGTGATCGCTACCAGTTTTCACCCTCGCGATCACGGAGACATCACTCAACAGTCGTCGTCTGGTCGTCATAATGAAGTCAATCTCATTTTTTGTGGAACCGTTGGGGCTCGACCAGGTTCACTTCCTGTGAATAATCCTATAATATGCCAGCGTAACTTGTCTATCTCTTCTTCCAGTTCCACGATCTTGTCGTCAGTCCTCAGGGTGCGTGCGTTGTATGTTGCCAGGTCGAGTCGTATTAGGTGGCAACCGAACCTCCACCGGAGATTCTTTGCACCCCCTGCCCCGCCGTTACCATGGTCGCCACCGTAGCCAGGAATAGCGGGGCCGCCGGGGACTGGGGGCCGTCTCTTTGTTACTCTCGTCATGCAACCGCAGTTTTTTATTTTAAGTTTGTTGTTATCAGGAAGATGCTGCTGCCCATCTCCTGCCTGTTTCCCCTTGTCGCCTTTTACGACACTCACGGGAAGATATGGGGTAATGGATATTCTTAACCGCCACTACACGGCATAATGTGTTTTATATTACTTACCACTAGCGGCGCTATAGCGGAGCGATAGTATTGTAATAAACTATTTTACGAAATGATCAATAATCATAATATCATGAAATAGCAATGCTGTAAATACTTGTTAATGTCGTCAAACGATCTTTAATCATTGATTTGGTGAAGCCATATCATGTTACGTTAAAAAAAAATAATGTTAAGTTTCATGAAATGCTACTACTACCATTTCACGAAAAGTTATAATGTATCAATGTGTGCGTGAAATTGCTCATTTTTGTTTAAATTGTAACGTGTGACTGATTTAGTGACAGAATATTGTTTTTGTGTGCGCCGATTTCCATTCGCAACAAATGACGGACAGTTCTGTATTGGGGGAAAACGCTATGGCTACTCCCCTCCGTTCCGCCGGTGATCCGTGTTGCTCTTTGGCGTATATTAATTAAAATATTAGTATTAACAAAAATTAAATTTTTAATTGATACATAGCGCTATTAAAAAAATATACAACGTTATTACACATCGAGTCTTTGTGTAATCGTATTAATAGTTTTGTCTATGCCCTCAAAAAAATGAGAAAAGTGACAAACTTACAAACGACTCTTATTATATACCACGCGTATATAGCTTCCATTTTAAATAAATTAATTTTAAAGAAATAGCATAAATGTACAAAAAGCGTATATAGCCCAAAAAATGTATTTAAGCTATCTCTGGAATACCGCCTGGCATATACTGTAGGACAGCTTTTGCAAATCTAAACATACTTCCGCTGCCGGCACTATATATTTTTATAATAAGCTCCTTTGTGAAGAGAAATATCAATTCGTTTATGAAAGCAAGTGACATGAACACAAGATTGAGGCAAAATCCTAATAGACATGTGTTAGACGTTATCCCAGGGTCAGCTAAATACCGTAAAAGTTGCCTAAAACTGTGTTTAATGATTTATAATATAATTCCTAATGGTATCAAACATTTCAATATAATTAATTTAAATCATAATTATTTAAGTGGCTCATTGACAGAAAAATATATGACATTAAAGATTTTATTGACATCAAATCCTAATACTATTAATTTTATATGACATATTTTAATTTATCTTTACGAGACGAGACTTAAACTTTGCGATGTTATTTTTATGTTTATAGTTGGAAGATAATAATATAAATTTTGCAAGCTATTTGCACCTTTTTAACATATACAACCTTTATTTACCATGTTCTTACGCAAATAAAAATTCTGATTCTGATTCTAAAAGTAGAATGTAGACGCAACACCCAACTATGTAAAAACATGACGAACACACAAGTCAACGGTTAAAATATTTTGAAAATGTATTTATAATATAATACATTTTAAAAGCTACTCTTTATCTAGCTTATAAATGATGAAATTATATATATAAAGAAAGTAAAAGCATTTCCATAGTCGGATGGAAAGCAGCCTGTAGTTTATTACCCATGGCTAATAACTCATTCATACTATACATAAAAATAATATAATTAATATAATAATATAATTATATCACGCTATATTTGTTTCAATCAGAAAATAGTAGAATCACAGACATAACTTTTCTACAGATACTTAGCTTTTACCCGCGGATTAGTTCGCGTGAGGGTCGGAAAGTTATATAATTTTGAAAAGTATCTATATTACGTGTTATGTAATACTCAGTACGCTGAACGCAGTGTGAAAGTACTCGCTGACTATCATCACTAATGTTTTTGTTACAAGTCTTATTCATAAATTCATTTTTATTGAAGAAAGTATTGCTCTTTTAAATAACCAATCTCATAAGGGTTATTATTACTTAAATTTGGGTAAACGTGTGCAATAAGTTCGACCTCTGGCGCTGCGGATGACAGTATTCATTTCTAAATGCACGCCCGGACGTGCGCATGTAAAGGGAATTCATATTTAATTAGGCTTATTTCCGGCGTGAAAAGTAAAAGTATTCTTTGTGCTATTTTACAACCGAAGTCAAATTTCATACTAAATTTCTTCAAAATCAATTCAGCTATTTTTATATGAAAAGGTATTACAGGATTACACTCCAAATCTGTCCCAACGACAGTACCGTACAGTTTTTCTATACCTATCTTTATCGTACCTTATTCCATTCTCAGACTCACAAACTGTCAGTTTCCATTAAATCAGCTTTGTGATATCTTAGATAAGCCTGAGGCTAATGTTGATTGCAAGTAGCACATAGTCAATAAGAGATATTGGACAGGACAGACGTGGGCATGTTACAAAGGCAGTGATTTCCAGTGCACTGTTACATATATCTTATACGTAACATCAGAACTTCATCTCAAATAGTACTTAATAAGTAAAATATACACTTATTATCATATCATCGCTAGCAGCTAATAAATAGTTAATTCTTTGTCTGTTGTATGAGGGGTAGGATCTGAATGCATCACTTAGTAGGCACATATTTATTTATTCATTTATTTAAACTTGGCAAGAATACCGCATGCATACTCGCATTTAAGGCATTCTCTACCAGTGAAGCTACAAGTCATTAGGGAACACTACTTTGGAGCTGCAATATAATTTATGAGAGAAAGAATTAAGCAACAACACAATAACCGATGACCGATGTAAAGCAACTTGTAGAGAAAGATTATAGTCAGAACGAAGATGTAAATCTTGACCATCGCGAGAAAAAAGAAATTTAGTTCTATTCCCGACAAATAAATTCATCTTATTTTTACTTCAAATAATAATAAAGTGTTATTTCATCAGAAAAAAAATCACATGTGTGGATGAATCTAAGAGCGGGAATTTCATCAAAACTAATTACTACGTTTAAAAAATTATCGTAGAATATGCACTACAAAATACAAAAAAAAGGAAAACTTTAATGATAATGCAGGTACGATGTTACTGTTGAGATTTATGGATCACAAACTAATTAGGCTAAATAATTTAGAGATAATACTAAAGATAGGGAAAGATATTTTGCTTCACGGCTGTAATCCACAAGGATTACTGCCCCGACTGGGCTCAAGCAGCCACGAGATACTCGGACGTACCTATAGCTTTTTTTATATAGGAGATGAGGCAAACGTGCATGCAGCTCACCTGATGGTAAACTACTTGGCTACTTGTACTAATATCCATTCATATCTTAAACCCCGATAGTTGCAAATTACGACATGCTTGACAAGTTGTTACTTATCTATTAGCACATTTTTTAATACTTTTTACATAAACATGGGACTTATAAGTCCCAGATAATATGGGAATTTCATTATCAAATTGGATCTTCCATTAGTTTGGAGCGTTTTACATTAATGAATGAATGCAAAGGAAATCTCATTTACAAACTGTAATTACATCACACTTGAAACACTGTACCGAACATCCTGTTTGTGCCCTCCCGTGATGCACGGATGCAATAGTTGTGAGGGTACTAACTAATTAATTACAAAGGGCACTTTGTAGTGTTGTCAGTGCAGGATAGATAGATGCGTGTGCCGAGTCATGGAGGCGGGAGGCAAGGGGCGCCACCTCCCAGTATTTTATTGATTTACCAGTAAATTAAATTTGACCTTTGCAGAAACTAGTTTTGCACTGCACATTGGTCACTTTAATTTAGTCGAAAATTAAAAATTATATCTATATGAATGCAAGAAAATATTAATTTGTGACCTTATACAATCTCGCGTAGTACAAGGCAGCGTAGTGGTGGTGTAAGAATATCCACTGCCCATATCGTCCCATGGGTGTCGAAAAAGGCGTTATCCTTAAGGCAAACTAGGCACATGACAAGGGGCGCAAGATTCAAATGGGAGAGCGCGAAAGTTCTAAGCTTTTCTTGCTTAAAGAGATTGAAAAAATATCCTCGCTCAACGATTAAATTCGTTAGGGATACTGATGAATCAAATATCGCAAAACAAAAATGCAGACGAATACATTTTTAACAAAAGTGATTGGATAAATATTTTTTGTTGGTACCTAACAATTTAAAATAAACAATTTTATTCATAGCATTATTCATGACATGCGTGACCTTGATTTCGTTCGACCTTGAAGACGTTCGATTTCGCATTACATTACAGTACGTATGGCTGAGCGCTGCGTGCTTACCGCCCTCTATCGTTAAAACGGTGAAGCGCATGGAAAAATGATTCAAATAAAATCTGTCGCACTACAATTTTTGTAATAAATGTTAACACCATTAGAGCAATAGAAACAGAGATAATAGCAGAAAAACTGCTATTTTTTACCTTTGACCTTCAGTAACTTAATTGAGACTTTTGAGACAACTTTTAGAACGCGAAACTGAAGGTAGAGTAACTAAATTAATTTAGAAATGACAGTGCTTGTTCGAGTTTCAACTAATGTTAGTTTAAGCATTCTTGATATAAATGTATGGAAAAATTGGCAAAATAAATGGAATACTTTTATCTATCGGCATTACATATGCCGATAGATAAAAGTATTCAATTTATTTTTCCAATTTTTCCATACATTTATATATATATGTTATAGAGTGAAGTTAAATTTTATATACTCCTTATATTCCGATAATTTTGTCTGTGCTTATGTTAATTTGATTTACATTCGATCTCTAAATTGTAGTTATCGAGGGTGAATGGGATCTATCAGCTCCCGCAAAACACATTTCTGATAAAAGGTATATAATTTTAAAACTGTGTCTGTTGTCCAAAACGCATCATCTCCACCGTCACCGCGCGTGCATATGGGCGTGAGCTATCGTCCTCCCGCATCGCACCGGGGAAAACATTATTCAGTGAGATGCACGATAATTAATAATAAAACGTTCGCGTAAAATATATACGAAAAGGCCTTTGGAACATCGTGTTTTATGAAAAAACCACTGCATGAATCAATTACAAAATGTTTCGCTCAATGCTCAATTATCGAAGAGTTTTTATTAAATTCTTTGATAATTGAGCTTTGTCGGTACTGACTGTGTTGGAAATTTTGCACTTCATTCATTAATAATATACGCCCAAAATTGCGCTAAAATTTTCAATAAAAGCAAATATTTGGTAGCTTGTAACTTTTTAATGGCTTTTTATTTTACTATTCCGTTTGAAAATTAATAATGATAGAAAACGACATCATGTTTAACTTTGGATGTACAGGGTCAAACAACGGAGTAATACCCTCCCGAAATTTTTATAGAAAAAATGTCGACAAGTGTCACCTTAATTATTGACCCTTAAAGTAAGTGTAACATACCTCCTCCCGGGTGAGCCCACCCCACCGCGCCTAAGAAAGTGTTCCGAAGCGCGGGTTTTTTCACTTTTAAAGGAAATCGTACTAGGTGTATGAAAAGTGTGCAGGTAAAACTAATCCTTGATTTGCTATCAATCTTTTGTACATAGAAAAGCGATATAATTTCTGCGCTATCTGCCACAAAATATAAACATTTTTAAATGATACTAATTTTTACGGATTCTATCGCGTTTAATTAAACTCTTTAATTCCCGACGTTTCGGGTGCTTTACTGCACCCATGGTCACGGGGGGCACTGAGGTGTATGACGTCCCGATGTCAAAGTTAACCTGGCTTCATTCAGGTTTTTATTATAAATTTTAGGTCCGATTTACGCAAAAATTAAAAAAATAACTGCTAGGCATCGGAGCGCACTCCCCTCATCGCACTCCCCTAAAATGCACCCGTCAAATTAAGTTTTATTGAATCGTTTGAATGGTGGCACACTTAAAAACTCCAAGTGCTACTACAGCGCTTCAAAGCGTCAAAGCATCCAGTCGCAGCGCTGGAGTGACAACTAATCGAGATGGCCTTCCCCTTTGTATTTCTAAATGTCACTGATCCGATTCGAACAGAATCACGATACTATTGGATGGACAGTGGACACTTAATAACACGAAATATTCTTTTTTCATCACAACACCGTTGCAATAAAATGCTTTTCGCCCGTCTCGTCGCAATCGGAAAAAAATTCCACTTCTAAATGCCACCACCACGACTTAGCCGCCAGGGCGGCATTACTTTGCAATGAGGTTGAAATATTTGACAGATTTCATAGCGAGGAAGGTAATTTCTTAGGAAAATGTAAGGGTTATTGTTTCTTTCTGTATTATTACTTATATTTTATATTAATTAGAAGATTTATATGAATAATCCAAACTATGGATATAACTAAAAGTAGAAAAAATTAAATAAAATCAAACTTGTGTATTAATATAATACTCTTCAAACTGATAAACAATTATTTAAAACTAATTTCTTAATTAACTGACATTGTGTAACGAAAAAACTTTACCTCAGTCTCAACTAGCGACATCTGGTGACTGGATGATTATTGGCCCTCATTGGAATCTCATCGTTAAACTTTATAAGCGATAAGCAACTCTTTTTTAAAATAATTAATAGAATCAGATGTTACTTTGCGGAAATCCATTATATTAAAAATCTTAAAAAATTATTAGCTAAGTGATACAATAAAATGATATGTCTTAGCTATACGAATATTGAAGAGCACCTCCCACCCTCCCTCAATTGCGTGCACAATCCCCGTCACCACTAATCCCAGCACCGCTACTACCAACACAATTATATTAAGAAAGACACACCTTGTTAATTCAAACTAATCTTAACTCAAAATAATAATAAAAATAACTCAAAACTAAAGCATTCAGTTATGCATATATTTTATAGTGTAATAAAAAAAAAGATTGCATTGGAAAGGTGTCACGTGGTGCGGTGGTGGATTGTGTTCGTTTATCTTATCTATAAAAAAAAACTTATTATCTTATCTATAAAAGATAGCCTAGATCCCTCCTGGCATTGCTTGCTCTCTATGCGTTCGTAAAGTTTTATCACAATCTGTTCTGCCCGGACAGACATACAGAAAGACCGACGACAAAATGTTAAGAATGGTCATTTATGTGTTAATAACATGCAAGTAGCTCCCTATACCTAATATAAACCAGTTGTTTCAATATTACAGACAGATACTTCAATTTTATTTATATGCATAGATTAAGAATCAATGAAGATGCGTTGTCACCCAGGACTAAGACGGAATGCCTCTTTACCAGTAAATAGAAAAATAAAATTGATCAATTTATATAAAAATTGCATTTTGATAAGATATGGTTCAAGCTATAAAAATTGAAACTAAGCTATATAAGCATAATTAGTGTAGGGACA